CATATATACACGTATAATTTCCGCACAACACCTAGTGAATGGCTCCAATGACCGAATATATATTTATTAGTTTAGAAACTACAGAGCCGGAATAGATTCTTTAATTATCTATTACGTTCGCTTTTCTTGCTGGTCCATATATGGACCAGTCCCGGAGCGAAAAGGTTAATGAAAAGCGAGCGACGGCTAAAACCTTTTGATTGTTACTCCTGGACATGTCCTTGACAACATATGTCAAGATCAAAGTCATCGGAGCTGGGTCCGTTTTGTAAACATTTTCCTGTTTATCAAATTAAACTTCTATTTAACATCAAATAAAACATAAAATGGTTATAAATTACATTTACTTTTTTTATTTGTATTTTCTTTCTTTTATATATACAGGGTGTCCCATAATTGCCGTCTCACCGCTCGTAGGCAAGAAGAAAAGATTATTCTAATGTAAGACAAAGTCCTATACCACTTTGGAAGGTTTGCAATAATTAACGAGATATGAACAAATAAAGATCCGCTAATCAGCGTGCATGCAGCGTAAGGGGAGTGTAAGGACAGCCTAGTCTTTCTCGCGGATAGCGCGCTCCCCGAACGCAACTTATATGCTGTTTATGTATAGATGCACGTGCTATTCTATTGGTCGCGTTTAGCAGATACAACTGTTGTACAACTGTTGGGTGAGTGTCTGCTGAACGCACTCTGCTCAGTCACCGCTACTCAACATGTTTAGGGAGCGGACCCCATTTTTTCCATCGAAGTTTTTCTCTGCTACCTAAGCGTAACATGTTGTAAAAGAATATGGCGGCACATATGAGAAATGTAAACACGGGTAATTTTGATTTGTATGTAAGAGAAAATGAGTTCTGAAAACCTCAAAATGTATAGTGTCGTTTTTGCCATTATTCATAGCAAATAAAACAATCACATTTAAATTGTCCATTGCAAATTGTAAATTATAACACTTAATTTTTTTATAATTTGGTAATATTTTGTTTTCTATTGTTTAGCTTATTATGAATAAACACACTGAGAGGTTATGTTTAGGCTTTATTAAAAAACAGTGTAGGGTCACGTGACATGTTATACAGATCTGAAGCTCAAGACCGTTCAGCAAGCATGATCTATATCACTAAGCGTTCACTGATCATTTGCTCAACCGCTTTGCAACTGCTGGAATCTGCTGAACGCGACCATTATTACTTTAGCTTTCGCGATCGTTTTTATCGTCGCCCGTACTGCAATGCGCGTGTTACTTACATCTTCGATTAAAGAGGAAGCTCGCAGAAAAAGAGGACAAGATAAGGCTTTCTTGTCTCAAATATTGAACATATTTCGACACTAGGCGAAATATCTTTGTGAGTTGCTTTTGATTGCTCTTGTAGTGACAAAACGCTGTGAAACATGTTAGAGAACGTAAACCGTAACGTCAAGAAATTGTTGCGTTTTGATTACTAGAAAATTTAAACTTGTGATTTTTATCTTTTTTTTTTTTGCACAACAAGATTTTCTGACATTAAAGAAGAATTAAGACACTGAAGCTGATTTACCAGCTCGAGAAGAGCTCTCGCGTTTCTACGCTAGACCAGTCCGGCCGGCCCCACCACGTCCCAATGTCGGTCCTAGAGCGGCGAGAGTTTCATGATATCGCTGTTGCTGAGGTCGGCGGACGGCACGTCGTCGTCGTCGTCGAGGGGGCTGCCGTCCGAACCGAGCGAGGAGAATGGCGCCGCCAATGACGTCGTCGCTACGAACTCGTCGAGGAAGTCGAAGGAGGCCACCGCCTCGCGCTCTTTGTCCCCGTAACGCACGAAGAAGTCGTCGCCGCGACCGATGATCGACGGACGGGACGAACCCCACGTGGACGGCAGTCGGAGGACGCGGTGCGCCTGGGCCGCCGACGCTGAAGAAACCAAGGGCACAACAGCAGCAGGTCAACAGATGCTGCTCTCAGACTTCATTCTCGAACGATTTGATTCTTTGATCTCTCTTTCTCTTTCGCTCTTCTCTATACCGGCTCTAGCAGACACAGAGTAGCTCGGCTTAGCACTCTCTTTTCATCACGTATTCACGTCTCCCTCTCTCTCCCTATCTTTCTCTCTCTCTCTCTCTCTCTCTCTCTCTCTCTCTCTCTCTCAGTCTCTCTGTCTTTCGTTTTTGTCTCTTTCTCTCTCTCTCTTTCACACACATCTCATTGCTCGTATATCGATTTTTGCTGTCGACACAATTACTTGTCAAACGCACGGATACATAAATTTGTTTCAACGATAGAATAGCGAATATTTATTTTTTTGAGAGAAAGCAAAGTTTGCAAAATTGACCCAAAATCCATATGTCATATACACATATGTATAATTGAATAATTACACGGCGAATTTAAATGACGGAACATATGAAGCGGGCATGTGAAGCGGTTTTAGAGAGAGGGAAGGCTTGTGAAGATATTCATACATGTTCTGCACATGTCAATAGAATTCGAAACTTGTCGCTTTGCTCGCTTTAATGAGAGAGAAAGTAACTATATTCTCTGTTTTTACCATGACGCAATTCCATTACACGCGATACATCTATGTATATTTTGAATTGCAGTTTCGATTATACGTTCACACACACACACACATATATATATATATATATGTATATAGATTTATGATACTTTATAAGAGTTGTGTGTACTAAAATTTTTGGTTTTTGATTTTTTTGCAATTTGATTATCTCGCGTTAGAATCTTCGACTACAATCTTTTTTACGCTCGAAAGTCTGAGAGAGTTTTCGGACCGAGTTTGCTGTAAGCGTGCCAAACAGGTTGGCGCGGATACACGCGAACGAGAACAGAGATGGAATTGCATGAAGGTACTGTGTGAGCCAAGAGAATGTTTTCTCCGCCGGTTAATATCAGTTAGTAGAAATCAAGTTCGTTTTGTGGGAGAACATATGCGTATGGTTCAGTTGCTTTCGAAATAAGTTCCCCGGGAAGACGCGCGTTTATCCTTCCAAATTGGTCACACGTCGCTTATGAAGGAAACTGATCGTCACTAAGCCGAACTACGTAGCTTTTCTTGTGACAATCAAAGCACACCGCGTAGGCGCTACCATCTGAACAGAAAATATGGAAAACAAGCTATGTACAGCGAAGAGGCGTAAACAGCTGCGAGCGTAAAAATGGATGTTAAATTTGTTACACTGTATGAATTTTGTTAATGCGTTAATTGCGTGTGAAAGCCGGCGAAACGAGCGTGTGAAATGCGACACGTGTGCGATGTTGACGTGTACATATATCCGCTTCCAAGTATGGTGTAATGTAGCTATCAACTGTGGACAAAGTGATGTTAAACATTACACGTGTACCACCGCTGTGTCGACTTGTAAAAGCTTGTATGCGACGAAACAAAACTGTTTTCACACACCACCCGCGAAATAACACACACAGATATCGCGTCTCGCGCCGAGAGAGATATAATGCGCGAAAAAAAAAGTGCGCAACAAAAGTACAGTGTCTACATGATGGATATTTCACGTTTAAATGTACCTTTCTTTTGTCGTCGGTAACGGTGTAATCTGTGCAAATGGCGGTAATCAGGTGGTTCATCCCCCGAGTCACTGCCCGCCGAGCCGCTGCTCGATGTCGCCGAGGAACTTTCGCTACTCGCTAGCATCACATCTAAAAGATTTGCTCTGGCCTAGAAGAGAAAAAAAATTTTGACATTTCTAACGGTATGATACTCGCGTGTATTTTATAAAGCTCGCGCAAAAATGTCATTCGGTTCACCTTGGGGTCGGTAAAGTCAATGTCACGTTCAACGTGAACCCATCCTGTCGGACAGCAGCAAGCGAGATCCAATTTCTCCAGCGCTACCTGCGATTCGTTGTTCGCGCTCGCGTTCTCTTCGCCTTTGCGTATCATACGATTCAGCTCGTCTATCACGTCCTTGGACGTGGCACGCTCGTGGAAGCTCAATGTTCGATCTCTTCCCTCCACGAGAAGCGTTGCTCGCGCGGGACTCACCTGTACACAAAAATTACGCAACTGTTATGCTACTTACATTATTGTAACAAGGTAGTTTCGCGTCGAGCAAAATAAAAATAACAATCTTGGGAAGTTTCTTGAGAGCAACAACTTACAACTGTACTAGGCGTGGATGAGGTCGCAGCCTCTTCGTCCTCCTCGGGAACGGCACCCAATTCCGACGGTGTTACCGTTGTGTACGATATACCGCCGTTGCACGACACGGCACTCACAATCCTCTCGTCGGATGTTAACGGCGGCACCTGTATCTGATCGAGTAACTCGTCGTTGTTGCTCGTCTCGATTGTATTTCTCGCACCATCACCGATCTCCTGAGCGACCGAACCGTCCACCTCCGTGATCTTCGTCTCTCCCGCACACTCACCTTTGCTAGCATCCGTTTCTGTAATTATTAAAATAATTTTTCACATTATATCGTTTTTTTTTTTCAAGTCCCAGGTTTTCTTATATCGTTTATAAAGTCGCCAACCTTCGGCCGAGTAAGACACGACGTTGTGCGGGTCTACGGGATTGTTCGGTAATTCCGCGAGATACATCTGTTGCTCGGCGATGAACGACAGAACGCTCTGAAGCGCTTGTTCCCGATCTGGCGGTGGTCTGCCACTTCGGGACGACGTGCTGGCTAAGCTCTTGGTACTTTCGAACTTCACCAACCGGTAAAAGTCTCTGGTAAAATCGGTGCCGATTGATGGAGTGTCGGGATCGTCGCTGCAGCCCGAAAGCGCCGCCGAGGATCGTTTGCTCGAGTTTTCCAGAACGCCCTCCTCGCTGCTCCAAGAAGCGCCTGGGCTCGAGGCGTACGGCCAGGGTCCGGTTGTTCTCGCGTCCATTAAAAGTGCAACCTAGAGAAAAGTCGGACAAATATAATGTTTATTTGTTCTGATAACTTCAGCAATACACCGCATCGACCAATCTGTGACGTACCAGCTCTCCTCCCGTTCTGTCGGCGAGATAACTCGCGCCGTTCCACAAACACTCGTTCGCGTCTTCCTCCAGTTCCAGAAGATTGTTCTCTTTGATTGCCGGCAAGGCGGGCGTGTTCGAAGTGGCCGGTTGCTCTTTCCACGTTACCGATTCGTTTTGTACGAGATCCTCCGTAGACAAAGAGAAGCTCCAGTCCTCCAGCTCCGCTCTGTCGTATTCCAATTCGAGCAGATCTCGATGCTGCTGCGCGCTTCTACTGTCGTCGAGCCTGTAACACACACACACACACACACACGATGACGTAAAAATCCGAATCAAAACTGCGAATAATATCTTCTACCGATATCCGAAGAGCGGAAACGAACCTCAACCATTGTTGCACATATTCCGCGTCCCAGCCGTCCTCTTCCACCAGCAGGAGAGAGGACGATCCCATTGGACTAGGTAATTTGTACGGGGTGAAATTGGCGGCGGCGGTGGTGAGCTTGAGACACAAATGGCTGTCGGAGAAGCTGCGCATCACGTGCTGATACGGCAACAGATCCTTGCTCGGGGGATAGCTGTGTCGCGGATTGATGCCCACAGTAAGATTCAGAGGTAGAAAGAGCACGTCCGGATCGCCAGCGTCAAGAGCGACGAGACGCGCGTCCGGCGACACGTCGGCCTCGGTCTCGTCGGTGGCTTCCTTCAGATCCTCGAGACCGCGCGCGGACGGTTCCTGACGCGTACCCTCACCCTGAACGTCGCTCGACATGGTCGAGTAACCCTCATCGCGGTTCCCGCTCTCGGGACTCTCGCTACCCTCTTCCTCCGAGGGCTTTTGCGCTGCAAATGTTTTATTTTACTGACCTACAATGTTTTGTTTTACTGAAATATTAACGAGACATAAAATCCACGCGTTAAAAGATACGACCGAGACTCGATAGAATGAAATCCCGTTAAAAATCCAAAAACAAAAGTAAAAAAAAAAAAAAAAAAAAAAAACATGATATAGTCGACAAGGAAAATTTGAGAATTAGAGTGAAAACTAGTTTGTACCAAGAGATTTGCTGCGTCGATATTTGGTAGCCGCCATCACGGGTATCTGCAAGTTGAGAGACCGCGGTCTCGAGAGAGGAACCCAGGATGAGTCCAAGCTGAGAGCGGCGATCAGAGCGGCCGGACTGGCTTCGAGAAGTCCCTGGATCAGTTCGGTGGGACTTCCGGTGGGACTCGCGGCCTGTGCCAGGAGTCCCGACAACGTTCGATTTTGAGCCTCGAGCTCTCGTATACGTCTTTGCAGAGCGCCTATTTCCTCCCTGAGACCCTGAGGAGAGAGATAGACAATCCGGTGCGCGGCTATCAGTACTATTACCTATAATTCGTCTTCGACGATGTATCGTATATTCAAGAAGCGCGCGTTAGCGGGTGTGGGAAAAGAGCGTGTTAGCGCGACTGATCGCGAAAGCCTTTCGACATTGCTTTTTTTTTCACAATCTCATACTTACGTAACCGACAAACAAAGTACGTAACAACATTTAACATCTATGTGAAGCAGAAGTGCGCGCGTGTAACATATCCAGTCAAATCTAGTCTCTAAATAAATTTCTCTTCGCAATGCACGCGTGTGTGTTCGAGAGAGCATGTTGAGCAGAGGATGTTAGACGAGAGAGAGAGAGAGAAAAAGAAAAAAGAAGACGATGTGAGAAGAAGAGAAGGAGGTACGGTAACGTTAGCATAGCAATAAAACCTTTTGCGATAGGAGTGCGCGGACCACCTGGTTGGCAACGTCGTCCAGACAACGCTCGTACTGTCGACGCTGGGCATCGGCGTCCCGCGCCAGAGCCGCGTGTTCGGTCTCGAGAGTCGCCAGTCGTGCAACCAGCGCGGCGTGAACTTCACCGGCGCACGCTGCCTCGAGGCCCCGCAGCTGACCTCGCATCGACTCGTTCTCCAGCTGCAGCTTCGAGATCTGCGCCTGGTACTGGTGCACGCGTGCCTGCAAACAAACGCGCAAAAACGATCTCACACACTCGTGCGATAAAAATACATTTTCTAATTGCGTAGCGTATATAAAAAAACAATATAAAGTGGAATATAATAAAAAATATTGTTACGATACATTGCGACGTCTAATTACAAACAATGATACACAGCGGTTAGTCTAGCTGAGAATCTATCGTGACTTTGCGCAAACAATTAACAATGATGCGCATCTAATTCAAACGTTATTTCGGTAACAAATATATTTTATTAACGCGACGGGATGACACAACGTGTGATTAGCGTAATCGATAATTTACTAGTATACAACAGTGCGGAGAAATTGAAAAAGAGTTAAAGAACAAGGACGAATAATTACAATGTGGTTAGCAATGTTGTTATTAATGTCGTTAGCGCGATATAATAATGTTATTACAACTAATTAATGTTGCACGTATAATATTGTAATTATTGTCGGTTGGTAATTAAGTTGCTAACATAATCAGAGAGCGCATGTGTTTTGAAACATCTACTATATATATACATTCACATACGTATATATATATACTACTGTGATCAAAAAGTAAGGTGAAATTGTCATTTAAAACTCCCGGGCATTAGGAAGGCAGGTAATTTTTTTTTCCTAGGTTGGTAGGACTGTCTATAATATTTGCCAAGCGTCTGTTTGTCAAAAGGTTTAATTATCTCCGAGTTACATGTGTTTTTGTAAACAATCAAAAGTGAATTTTTCGATTTTTACAATGGGTGATTTTGTTGAGCAAAGAACTTGCATCAAATTTTGTTTGCGGAACGAATATTCTTGTGCGGACACGTTGAAAATGTTGCGGAAGGCCTTTGGTGAACAAACTATGGCACAAAAAAACGTTTATAAGTGGTACAACGAGTTCAAAGCGGGCCGAGAACGCGTTGAAGACAAACCACGCTCTGGACGACCATCAACGTCTACCGACGAGGGCCACGTCCAAAAAATCAAAGATTTGGTGCTTGCAAATCGT